CGGATTCTGGTTGGTTATGCATAGTTATTCACCTATAGTTTACTGACGAGATTTGCTTTCCCCATTAAGAGGAGTGCAGAAAAGGAACGTCGCCGCACCACGTATCGAAGCCACCGCGAGAGAGAGAGAGAGAGAGCTGGTAATGCAGCATCAACGTCTTGGATTTAGTTTGGACAGATGGATTCCTGAATTCGGGGGCAACCAGTTGATCACAAAGGTAAGCATCAAGGTTGTCAAACTGGGTTAAGTTATCAAGTCGGTTTGGCAAGGGGTTTGAGGTTTAATGGTTAGATCTGGGTTCAGTTGGTTTAAACCGATTTTGATAGGAAAGATGGATAATGGATATTGGGGAACCATTTTTGTCACAGATTTTAGGGCGACTCATGAAAAGAAATTAATAACATAGAAAAATTCATTACATCAGCCCATAAATAAAGCAAAACCCCTCATTACTTTTTGGGCCCGAACAAACCTTAAGAACCCAACCGAATTCCATCTCCCTAGAGATGGAGCAGTCGCCACCTAGAGGAGCACAACCGCCACCTAAATGGAGTAGTCGCTAGTGGAGAAGGATTCTGATGACTCAGAACCCGCCGGACAGAAAGAAGCCACAAGAAGAAACCTACAAAATCCAATCCAAAGGATGACCTCAACCTGACAATCCGATGAGAGCACCAAGGAAAACTTATAGAGAGCCCATGATCAATGGACAAGAAAGAAAAGAGAGATGAAGAAGAGAGAGAGATGTTAGATTTGGCATCGCGTGAGCGGCATCAAGCGACGCGCGGGGAGCCATCGTCGAAGATGGGAGCAAACGGCGAGTCGGGGGTTGAGGAGCAAATGCAGGCCAAAGGACGGAGTTGGATTTTGGAGAGATGAGAGCAACTGTTGGCTGCTAGCTCGCTAGGCAGAAGGGAAGTGAGAGTTAGGTTTAGAAGTTAGATTTAGTCAATAACCGAAAGCCGCGACAACTGGTCAGACCCCGGGTTTTCACGATTTTGAGTGATTTTGACCGGTTACTGGCTAGTCCAAAATATGGTTGGTTGGAGCCGTTTGCATGCCCAGTTCTGGTCGAACCCGGTCAGACCGGTCGGTCGGATAAGGGTTTGACAACCTTGGTAAGCATTGACTCGCACGAAACTACACCACAAATTAATCCCGACTAGAGCCCAAGTTTTTAAACTCTAGTCGGGTGCAGTATAGGGCAAGTATTTAGAATGTCGACCCGGACCAGTCCATATATCCCTACTTCAATCGCTTAGATTGTTATCTAGCAAACGTTTTTGGGTTTAAAGCTAAGAAAACTACAAAATGAACAGACAAGGAAAGTAAATGGAGGAGAATTCTACTTGAGGGGACTTCACCTGGGTATTGCTCCCCCTAGGAAGGGACAAACAAAGCTCTAGTGTGAAGAAAGTGTTCATACACCGCAAGGTGGGCGCCACTAGCTAGAAACAAACTCCCTTAGTCGACAATCATGAGGGAAATCAACAATTATAAGCTAGGGGAACTAGCTCTATTAACCGTTAGGTGAAAGATTATTATTCATAGCTAGGGAACCTAGCCCTCATTACCGATCAACCAAGGAGATCTCTATCTCTTTTTGTTAGCTAATTGAGAATCGTTACAACAAGTTAGAAAGCTAAATCACTTAAAATTTTGGCTAAGGGGGACAACGATATGCTAGGAAACCTAACCCTCTCAACTAGCCGACTAAGGATTGCAAACCAAACCCTCGGAACTTAATCCGGTCGGCGGAGAGACCTATCCCGGTGGAATCACGGCCCTACTCCGATATTTGAGATTTTGGTCTTAAATCGACCTAACGGAGGTTACCCAAGTGGCTAAGAAGTCTAGCTTCCTATTGGACCAAAAGGGGATTTCCACCCTCTAGGTCAATTTTAATATTGAGTTAGAGTTAGCACACTCAATCATTCATGAATAATACCTCAAATATCATAGAAAACACTCAAACAACACCATAGGTTCATGTTCTTACATCCTAACACATAGATAGACTAGGGTTCACAATACCCAAGTGAGTAGGTAGGCTATTCCATAGCTAGACAAAGGGAAACAACAAAAGGGGAAGAAACAACCATGAACTGATGCCAATCCTTCCTCTTTGTTGCTTGATACACCCTTGAGATGAAGAAATCTTCAATCCTCTAGCGAGGAACAAGCCCAAAGCTCCTTCTTTCTCCTTTGATTTGCACTTTCTCACTCTAGAAGTAACCCTAACCTCTCACTAGAATCCTCTTTATCCTGAAAATGAAAACCTAACCTAAAAATGGAGCTCCCCTCTTCTTCCTTTCAGCTCACATTTTATACTGAGATCGGGCTCAGTTCACAGTCGTGAACTCTTCAACGCGTCCGTGAACTCGGAGTGCTGTGTCGAAACGCACCGCTTCACTCACTTAAGTTCACGGTTTGCACTCAAAGTTCAAGGTCTTGGTGACGGTGAACTCACTGGGCGCTTTGCGGTTCACGGCCTTAGGAGACTGTGAACTCCAATGGGAAACCGTGAACATGGCCTATCACTCCCGTTGCCCGGTCTTTGCTCCTTTTCTTCCAACTTTCGACTTCGGGTTGGTTTCACCTGTTAGATCCTCAAACACACTAAAACACACAAAACATAGCATAAAACCACCCTTTTAGGAGCACAAATGCCACAAATGCCCAAGGGAAACGGGGATAAAATGAGGCCCGAATCAAGCATTCTCTTCATTCCCTATTGTTTGCTATGAGTAGTTTTGATGGCATGATGAACGATTGAGATAATGTAACTGCGCTTCTTAGTGCTGACTATATAGCTAACAAAGGACACAACCTTCCTTTTGGTACCCACCTAATCGATGTTTTATATGGGGTTTCATCACTGTCTTTTTTTTACGTAATTGGAATCATCCAAGAACGGCTTTTACTTATACGAATTGGCACGCCTATGGTGTTTGTCTTCCTACAAAAAAAATTGCATGTACGAGTTATTTTTACATGTCATGTCGAAACTGAGGCAAGGAGAACGAAGAGGTTTTAGATGCAGCCTCCAAAGAGAATGGAATATAGATGAGTTATGTTCACACGTCATGACGAGCGGATTGATTATTTACTCTTCCTAATACTCTCTATGTACCAAAGTTGGTGCCTAATTTGGTCTAAGTTGGGCAGTTGGCTGAAGAGGGGTGTAAGGTTACTTTTAATTCAGGTGGATGTGTTGTGCATGATCAGATGATAGGGAAGGTAATAGGGACGGGAAGTAAGCAAGGTCGACTTTTCGTGTTGAATCAATATCAGAAGTCAGCTGGGAGTTATGGTGTGGGGCTGTTGCAGGATTTGACACGAGAAGAGGGTGCCGGAGAAAGGTTGTGGAGTAGTTGTACTGGGATCATGGGATATTCATTTAAACCGTTGAATTTTTCTGTTAAGGGTACTATTTGAGATTTATGGCATTGTCGGTTGGGTCATCCTCATACTGCTCGATTATACAGTATGTTCTAGAATAATTTATTAGCAGGACATATGGATTCATCGGTTTCTATGCATCCTTCTGCTTGTGTTAGCTGTATTGAAGCTAAGACTTCTCAGTCCTCTTCGAGTACTATGATCTATGAGTCTCCATTCGACCTAGTTCATACAGATTTGTGGGAACCATCTGCTGTTATTTCTCGTCTGGGCTATCGCTACTTTGTCTGGTTTATTGATCATGATGTCGCAACCGTCCCTCCGGGGTCGAGGTCGTCGCTTTCGCTTTTTGGGAGTTGCCATCGATCTTACTTGGAGTGGATCGAACACTCGAATCGGCTCTAACCTTAGGGTCAGAACCGAGATATGGTCTGCGGTTAAAAGATTCAGGTTCGGGAGTACGGTTACGTGTGGGGAAGTGAAATCACACCCCACAACGCCCTAAATCGGTACTACTTAAGTTGATAAGTTGAATGTGTGTTGGGTGTTATTTTGGTAATAATTTTGTATTTTTAAAATCCCACTGGATTATTAATATATTGCCTAATAATAAACCAATACGACAATGGACGTTTAGTTCATGATTAAATATTTTTAGGGCCTTACTGGACCACTAAAGAAATTTAATCGTGTTAATTTTAATTTAATTATACGCTCACTGACGAAAAAATTAAAAGATAAAATTAATTGGTTAGTTGGACTCGAACCTTATCGGTTGCCTACGTACCCGTAATACGGGATCAAAGTCCACGTAGTTCGTTATAACTTTGATAATTTGATTGTATGACTTTTGTCACGTTACACCTATAATGGTTCTCGTATTAAGGGTTTTTGTTAACTTTGATAGTTTTAATCCTAACTTTTATCACGGCCCACTGAACATTATCGTTGCATTATAATTTGGTTCATAGAATTTTAATTAGATTATTATGATGTTACTAAAATGAATGCAAGAATTTTAATTATTAAGAAGAAATTCGATGTATCAGAAAAGAAGCAAAACTAACTTAATCCGCATTTAACATATCGTATTAAGGACTTTAAACAAATAAAACTAAGCGGGATTATTATAATTACGCATGATGGGCGAGTATCCCAACTGGTTAAATTGCCAGTCACTAAACGCACTTGCTCACCCCAGTTTTATCGTCGCTTTTTTTTTTGGTTTCAGAGAAAGGGGAGGGGTAATTTCGTAATTGCTCAAAAGGACGGTGGCAGGGTCACGTAAATGTTTAGAAAACCTAGGGGCAATTTGGTCTTTTGCATGTGGGTATAAATTGATCTGTTGAAACCAAAATTAAACCCTAATTTAAACCCTAATCAAACGGCCGCCTCACTCATTCTCTCATCTCCATCTCTCGCTCCTCTCTCCCTCTCCCTCTCACGTCTCTCTTCGAGGAGAAAAAACGGAACTTTAGCAGACCCGCGCCGCCTTTGCCTCACCTCTCTCCCTCTCTCCTTCCCTTCCACACAACGAAACCCTAGCCGCAAAGCGCCGCCCTCTCCTTCTTCCTTCTCTTCGTGTTCTTGTCGTCTCTCTAAACCGAGAGGGATGGCGGCGCGAACCTTCTCCTCTAATCCTCCCCAAATTCTCCCCTTCTCATTGCTTCTGGATACGAAAAGGGAAGACGAGGAAGGGTGTTGCCAACGGCGATCTGGAGGCATGCACCGCCAGCAACGGTGACGAGGCTAAAATCGAAGGTTGGTTTACCTTCCCCCCTTTTTATGATTCTCTATTATCTTTAGGTCTGATTTTTAGGGATTTCGCCATTCTAATCATTTTCATTGTTTATTTTCCGGAAATCAGCCCAAAATCTAGGAGGAATACTAGATCTGTTTAGCCCCGACCTCGATCTCTTCCTTCTATTTGGAATAGAGGCGACAACGGGGAGATCTCACTCTTTGGTAAGCTCCTTCTCACATGCATGCTCATTTTTGTTCGATTTATGCATTACATCGAGATTTAACGTGTTTCAGTTTTTTTTTTGTTTCGGATCTTCGCCAAGAGAAGAAAGGGAGAGGCGGAAGTCGTTGGCAGCACGGTCGGAGCCAGAACCGACGGCGAGGGTTTGGTTTTGGGTAGGTTCTTTTGTTTTGATTTTTTGCTATTCTGGGTTTTTTAGTTTATTATTATTATTTGGGATTCTAACTCTTGATCTCCTTGATTTTTGAAGATCTCTACAGTTTGAAGAAACTAGGTGATACCTTTTCTAAACCTAAAGTGGATGGTTTGTTTATCGTGGCCATGATTGTTTATAAATCTCTTTGGTGTTATGAAAGTAAATTTTGTAAAAACTCCTGTTAGGTTTGTTTAGCTTTAATGTTTGGTTTTCGATAAGGTAGAGAACTTGCTTTATTAAATTTTGAAAATCTATAATGATCCTAGGGTAATTGGAAATCACATCTACTGATTATGAGTTATGACCATCAATTTGGTAGGAATCTCTCTAGAGTTGGGATTTGGTTAAAAGATTGATTAAAAAGGCTTATACGAATTGGTAACAGATGAAATTCTCAATGACATTAGGGCTTTTATTGTGTTTGGCATACAAAATAATAACTAAATGAGGACTTTGTAATTACCAAATTTTGGTAATTGGGTAAAAGCGGGTGCCCTTAAACACAAAAAGAGGTATTTTAAAATACTCTCCCAAGGGTATAATTTGAATTCTTTTTGTTGTTTTGAATTTATAGTTATCTATCAATCGAGTAAAAAGGGTTTATGATCATTTAAAGATAGCTATTCCCACCAAAGTAACAAAGTTTTGACAATCGTGTTTGTGACTTGCGAACATATTAGCTTGAATAGTTAGGGCTCTAGATCGAGTAACAACTCAAAATTTACTAGGAAGCACTAAAATAAGATCCGACTGCAAGTATGCACTAAAGAGCATGTTAATTTGAAAGACAATGTTAATAGAAATCTCTATCTTCTTTGAATTTGGATCTGTGCATAGTTGAACAATACACAACAAATTCTGATTGGTGCCAAATATTGAAGAAGTCTTCTCTTTTTTTTATACTTAATGTTTTTATTTGTTCATCTAAATGTAATAATTATTAAGTGTATAATTTGTAATTAGGCATGTAATTATTTTTTGACTTATCATTAGAAAGTTGATATAATTATTGAAATGCATGGCTCCAAACATTTCAATGATTCTCTCCAACCCAATTCGCTTGCTTTCCCCAATCGTAACCCAAATCCCGACTTCTAAATAAATAGTTGGTAACTACGAATTTCGATCAATATTAGTAAGATTACCATTGTCCTCCTATCCCATTCGACCAATTTCAAACCTATGCCACCAATCGTTAACCCCATACAATGATATTAGTATAGTTCGGGACGACATACTATTGCTATTCTAAATAAAGCGAATTTGGTAGTCATTAGCTACTGCTAATCCTACCTAGTACAAATATTCAAACTAAATAAAAAGCGGATTGGGAAATCGTTGGTACTTTTTGATTCGCCACTGCTAATCTCAACCTACCTCGTCCAAACTTTCACTTGAGTTTTCTTTTTAAGTTGGATATTCTTCTGAGTTTTGAGTAGGATGGTTGCTCCGGACAAAATGTGGTGTCTACAGTTGCCCCCCTTTGTATATCTCTTTGTATAAAGAGTTATACAAAGTTCCTATAAAGACACCACATTTTCAAAAAATAGCATGATGGTTGTGTTAGGGTCCTTGAGATAGGATGTGATTTGAGGACGATGCGAGGACTGTGAGTAATTTTGTGGGCTTTTGTGAGATCGCTGATTGCGAAGACTTCAAATTTCTTGATAGCCTCCGTCAATGAAGGGAAATTTACGGATTTTCTGGTATTCACTCTAGTGTAATTTTTTGACGCTCGACAACGTTGACAGATTTTCTTATGCTTGTTAATCATCATATGCTTTATTTCTTTAATGCTTGCCAATTCCAGTTAGGTATTTAATGGTGGAGACTCTCTTTATCTCTCGTGCGTTGTTGAATGATAGAGGGGCTCGCCAGATCCTGTGAGGTATTGAATGGTAGGGGGATTCTCAGCTCCCGTGAGATATTGATTGGTAGAGGGGCTCGCCAGCTCCTATGAGGTATTAATTTGGTAGGGGTGCTCCTCATCTCTCGTGCGTTGTTGAATGGTAGAGGGGCTCGCCAGCCAGCTCTTGTGAGGTATTAATTTGGTAGGGATGCTCCTCAGCTCCCTTGCGTTATTGAGTGGTAGAGGGGCTCGTCAGCTCCTGTGAGGTTTTGAATGGTCGGGGCGCTCCTCAGCTCCCAAGCGTTGTTGAATGATAGAGGGGCTCACCAGCTCCTGTGAGGTTTTGAATGGTTGGGGCGCTCCTCAGCTCCCATGAGGTATTGATTGGTAGGGGTGCTCCTCAGCTCTCGTGCATTGTTGAATGATAGAGGGGCTCGCCAGCTCTTGTGAGGTTTTGAATGGTTGGGTGCTCTTCATCTCCCGTGCGTTGTTGAATGATAGAAGGGCTCACCAGCTGTTGTGAGGTATTAATTTGATAGGGATGCTCCTCAGCTCCCGTGCATTATTGAGTGGTAGAGGGGCTCGTCAGCTTCTGTGAGGTTTTGAATGGTCGGGGCGCTCCTTAGCTCCCAAGATTTGTTGACTGATAGAGGGGCTCGCCAGCTCCTGTGAGGTTTTGAATGGTTGGGGCGCTCCTCAGATCCCGTGAGGTATTGATTGGTAGGGGTGCTCCTCAGCTCCCGTGCGTTGTTGAATGATAGAGGGGCTCGCCAGCTCCTGTGAGGTATTGAATGGTAGGGGCGCTCCTCAGCTCCCGTGAGATATTGATTGGTAGAGGGGCTCGCCAGATCCTGTGAGGTATTAATTTGGTAGGGGTGCTCCTCAACTCCCGTGCGTTATTGAGTGGTAGAGGGGCTCGTCAGCTCCTGTGAGGTTTTGAATGGTCGAGGTGCTCCTCAACTCCCGTGCATTGTTGAATGATAGAGGGGCTCGCCAGCTCCTGTGAGGTTTTGAATGGTTGGGGCGCTCCTCAGCTCCCGTGAGGTATTGACTTGCTCCCGTGGTTGTAGGGAAGACTTTGGAATTTGGTTGGCTCGTGTGGTATGCAGAGTGGGTGAAGGTTTTTCCGTTGTGGTAAGCATATTTGGGAATTCGGTTCTCTGCTTGTGGTATGCAAAGTGGGTAAAGGGTTTTTTTTCGATTGCAGTAAGCAGACTCGGGAATTTGGTTTCCCCCTTGCGATGATGCAGAGTGGGTAAAGGTTTTTTCGGTTGTGGTATCCAGACTCAGGAATTTGGTTACCCCCCTTGCAGTGTGCACAACGGGTAAAGGTTTTCTAGATTGCCAGTGATAGTCAACGAAGCAAATTGACTACGTTTTCTAAACTGCTGGTGATAGTTGACGGAACATGTTTCGTAGAGGGTGTAATTTTCTCGTGATAGTCGACGAAGCAAATTGACAAGGTTCTCTAAATTGTCCGTGATAGTCGACAGAACAAGTTTAGTAGGGAGTCTAATTTGCTCGTGATAATTGACAAAGCAAATTGACTAGGTAACTTCTAGGTTGCCCGTGATAATCGACGGAACAACTTTAGAAGGAGGGATTTCATTTGCTCATGAAAGCCGATGAAGCAAATTGACTTGGTTTTCTAAACTGTCCGTGATAATCGACGGAACAACTTTAGAAGTTAATTTGCTCGTGATAGTCGACGAAAAAAATTGACTAAGTAGTTTTTTGAATTGTCTGTGATAGTCGACGAAACAAGTTTAGCAGGGTCTAATTTGCTTGTGATAGACGACGAAACAAATTGACTAGTTAATTTCTAAATTGCCGGTGATAGTCGACAGAACAAGTTTAGAAGGAGATTTTTAATTTGCTCGTGATAGTCGACGAAACAAATTTATCAGGTAATTTTTGATTTGTCCATCATAGCCGACGGATCAAGTCGCAAAGATTGTCTGATTTGCTCGTGATAGTCGACAAAGCAAATTGACTAGGGTTTTTATAATATCGGTGATAGGAGACGAAACAAATCCATTAGAAGGCTCGCGATTGTTCACCAGCACCGATATCGTATGTTCCTGGTATTTGTTTAGGATGTACCTAAATCGATTGTTATGGCTTGTCATAAATGCACGTGAAAGCTAAACGTGAGACTTGAAGAATTCATGTGAATGCAGTGTTGCATCCTGCAATGATTTCTTTTAACAGACATTGGAAATCCAACTAAATGTATGAGTTATTTTGGGAATTGTTAGCAAGGAATGCATGATCCATTTTAACATATGATGATGTTGTTTAAGGAGTTTCAAAATGATTTTTGAAATTGGTTGTGTGATGAATCATGTTGATGAAGTCGTGAGTGTTCAGTGAAAAAGAGGACGTGATGCATTTTTATAATTTCTATGCAAATTTTTTTGCCCGGGTTTCCTTTAAATTGCTCATCTTCCAAGATTGCCAATCCCTTTTGATCAACTCGATACATAGTTCATGCTTATCCTGAAGCGACTTTGAACTTGTTATCTTGAGGTATATCTTCTTGGTGGTAGTTGCGCGAATATATACTTTGTGAGGTAAGGTGATGATGTGTTTATCTCTGTTCTTTTTGTCGATCAAGTTTGGACCCACATATTTCAGAGTTGTGCATCTCTTGATATGTGCAGTATATTGGTTCCTTCTCCTTCTGAACATGAAGTTGAAGGATAATAACTTGGATGGTTTAATGAGATTTGAATGTTCTCAAATTCCTTGAGATTTCTTCATCAACTCATGAGTGAAAAGTTGATTAATCCGATTCTTGGGTACTCAAACTTTCCCTTCTCCCATGGTGCACCATTTTTGCCCCCCGTAGATCTGTTACTCACTTTCTATTCTCTGAAACAAAGAGTGACTTTATCAATCTTGATTTAAGA